CCAAAAATTGTAAAATATAAGTCATTCTTATGCATTAAACGTTTTATTTAGTTGGGCATTTAAATGATGAAAGCGCACAAGATCTTCGCGAGAATAAACTTTTAGAAAATTTTAAATTATTCTTCTCTAATTATTATTTCGAAATTACAGAAATATGACACAAAACGATTGAAAAATGAACTGAAGAAAGGATAAATTTTACACAAAAGAAAAAATATTTACCGTAAAGTTGCTCCGCCGGTGCCCGATGCCTTTTCCAGGCCTCCTCCTCCACTCAGGCTGTTCTCTGGCACACTCGCGAAAACACAAAGATCGTTCGCGCGATTGTACACTCCCGTATGCAAAGCCCATGTGAAAATACGTATTTTGTCCCGTCAAGTTCGCCTCCACTTCGAGTCGACGAGTATTACACCCGAAAAACTGAAGTGTGGCCATCGACAGGAACGAATACTTGTTCCTTAAATGAGCTTTGAAAAGTCTTTGGTGCGATTATCTAAACGGCACTCCCGAACGCGACGAGAACGGAAACTTTGTTATACGCGCACTTTTAAATACGCGATTCACGATTGACAAGTGTTAACATTTCTCGTACGAGACGATTGAGATTCTCGTGGGAAATGATCGCGTTACGACGAGCGACGCGAAGACACGCGAAACACCCGCCTCGCTCGACTGAATCGCACTAACTGATAAACTGTTTTTCGACCGAGGTGTTAACGACGCTACGTCATTTCGTGGAATTCGGCGCTCGGCTCTCGGCCGAGTTGTTTACGGCGCTCGGCCAAAAAAAGGTCACGCCGTACGCAGGATCGTTCGCGCGGCGACAATTGAACGAGTCTGTTGTGCCCGCGCCGTTCCGCATAACGTATTATCCTCTCTTGATACGCGCTCGCGACAAGTACGGAAGGAAACCACGATCGGACGATTGTGTCCCGAGACCCGATCAACCGTCAGCTTCATCGGCGTTATCGCAGACTGGGGGTGCAAACTCATAGAGCGAAACGGTGTAAGAAAATCGCGGAACGACAGCTTCGACCAATCACGAAAACGTCGGAACACTCGCGATTGGTCAAGGCTTCCCAGTGAGAAATGATTCGTCGATCGACGTCGAAATGATGTCGAATCGATGTCAATTCGACGGTGTCGATGTCGATTCGACGAATCATTTCTCACTGGGTTCCGTTCCGCGATTTTCTGCGTACACCGTTCCGCTCTATGAGTTTGCACCCTGAGAATATCCGCAGCCGCGTTCGCGCTTAGGCTGATGGCACGGAGCGATCCGTAATTTCCTCTCGGGGGAAACGTTCGTCGCTAGAAAACCGCGCGAATAGAAACGCCAAACTCCTCGGCGAGGAGGTGACGCGCCGCGTACGCGACAAGCGCATCGTAAATATTATTAAAGCACTGTCCGACGCTATTTAAACATTTTTGTACGAAGTCGAGTCAATATTTAGAAAACGCTGCGCGACCGGCGCGCGGCGCGCGCCTCGGCCGCGACGGGCGCGCGCGTTTGAACGAGTCACGTGACCGCCTCGTCATTTGCGCGCGACAGCGAAAAACTTGGATCGTCCGGAGCGTTCGTTCGCGACGCCGATCGCCCTGTGACGGGCCGAGGTGTTCGCGCGAGAGATTCACGCGCGGCACGATATTACGCGCGGCGGAACGCGCTGACCGAGGAGGATTTCCCGATCGATTCGGGAACGAAGGAGGAGGGGACGAGTCGCCGAGCGAGGTTAGGACGGCGGGACGAGTGCGTGTCGCGTGTACGGCGAGGCCGCATGCGTTGCGTTCCACAGGTGTCGATTGATGATTGTGATTTGCGCTATCGTCGCCGTGATCGGATTGCTCGTATGCGCGCTGCTTAGAACCAGGCTCGACGAGCGGCACGAAGATCCAAGGTGAGCGGTTGCCCGAGTGTCACGGGCGTTTTGTAGGTTAGCCTGCGTGGTCCGAGCGTGGGCGGCGTAAAGCCGCCTCGACAGGACGACGCTCGAGTCTCCGGGCTGGCTAAGTTAATCTCGGCCCGTGGATTTGACGTTTCGGCACTGCTTTCTGTACTGCTAGATATCGTGCTCGAGAGTTTTATCCGTTTGTTTACTCGTCTTTGTGTTCTTTTAGCATGAAGAGGAACCCGAGGCTGTCCCTGAGGCGAGGGAGCCAGTGCGAGGCACGAGGCTCGGTCAACGATCCAGTAGAGATCTCGGACGACGAGAGCCTCGATTTGCCGCCGAATATACAGAGTAGCAAGAATGTGATAGGTCATGGTGCAGCCGACGTCTCGAGTAGCGTGGTAGATGCTGCCGGATGTAACTCGAAGCATGTACACGACATATCGGATGATTTAAGTAGCGACGACGATGTGATAGTCGAGGATGCACCTGACAACGCCTCTAATAAGAGCCTGACGATGTTTAACTGGAATAAAAGCGTCTTCGCTACTGATGTACTGTACCAAGACATTTTTCCTAAGAGCAGCGGCTCGAGGTATACAGATTCACCCAGCAAGAGGCAAAGGCTGATGAACAATCCGCCAAGGTCCGTCAGGTCGAGCTCCAGCGACGACGACGAGTCGACGAGCTTGTACATATCCAAGAAAGATGATTCGCCGCCTAAGGTTGGAATACAGCACGAGATGCTGATTGCCGGCATCAGAGTCAAGCTTCCTGTCAAGCCGTATCCGTGTCAGATTGCAGTGATGAACAGCGTAAGTACTACGATCGCTTGGTCAAGCCCGATGTCGTCGATCCCGCAGTTTTATTAATTATGTTGGAAATTGTGTGTATGCAGCTCATTCAAGGATGTACCAAGGAGCAGAACTGTCTCTTGGAAAGCCCCACTGGCAGCGGGAAGACTCTGGCGCTTCTGTGCGGAGCTCTGGCATGGCAAGAGCAGTACAGGGGTGAGTTTACGATACGTGTGTCGATACATATTAGATGTAAGGTCAATCTGGGCAATTGAAGACTAAGGTATTCATAGTCCGTTCTTATATTTAAGATCATCTTAAGTATACTCTTAATATGTTTTTAACGAATCACAGAGCCGTATTAGCTTCTTAAGACAACACTTGAGATGATTTGGTAATAAGAATCGACTATGAATACCGGCCTAAGACTTTAGAAACATCGTGAAAAGTACGCCTCTTTTTTAAATTCTTGTCGAACGTTAGGTTCAATTTGACTCCTTTTTGAAATTCGTCCGAGTGCAATTCAAAATGTTTATGCCACTTCAACCTAATTGTACAATATAAATTATTACTTGGTCCCAATTTTACAGATAAAACTTCGATCAGCGTTTTGATTTATCTGCCACGTTAAATTGATCCTAACATTCGAGTTTTGAATATCCAATGAGGATTAAGTGGTTCCAGTGGCACTGTCAGTGATGATTATTCATGTATTTGTTGTCCACGCGTGGCCGAAAAGACTTTTTGGAACCCGCTGCCAGTCTAGTTTGAAATTGCCTCGATTAAGCCTACAACAAGAATTTGAAAAATGCCTCGGAACTTGGCCGACTGCGCCGTCCAAATTTTCGCACAATTGTTTCGCGAATTCTCAATCGGCTCGAGCACCAGGTTACGCTAAAAGTCCGCGTGCACGCTTAAAGAGCCGACTAACGCGTGCTCCCGCGCGATCCATCATACGATATTCATTAATTTCCTACCGATCGCGTTCGTGCGGCGTTTTCCGCGGCCGCGATTACGTCTGTCCTCGAGGATTTATCGCGGAGCTTCGCGAAAATTTCGTTTCGTCGTCGTATGCGACGTCTCGTGATGGCCGGTCGTTAACGTCAACCGTCCCGGCGACTTTTGTCTCGCTGTAACACGCGCACCGCCCACACCGCGGTTGCTCTCGTCGGATTTTTAACTGTCGTGCCGAATTTTGGAAATTAGGGAGTTCGAGCCGTCGTGCTTGTCTCTCCTTCGCCCCGCGGCGGGACCTCGCTCTTATTAAAGTTTCCCGAAGTTGGTCGACGTTTCGCTTATCTCGTCAGGCTTTAAAAGTTTTCCGGATAATTTCTCGACGCGACGTCATGCGATTTGTCGCTCTCGCCGGATCGTCGACTCATTAATCGCGATCCTTATTTCATATTAATATTATCATTACGTCTATAGTTTTTTTTAAGAACGCAAAAACTCGACTGGAAAAATTCTACATTCATTATAAAATTATGTTTGCTCTTTGTGAGTAAATTTGCGTGCAGGCGCGACGTGCATCGAGAGAACGTCGTTGCCTTAAACGGCGGATTTTCCCGTCGACATTTAACTCCGCTAACGCGGTCGAAATTAAATATCGCAAATTAATTTATGCGATTTTTTTCTCCCCTCGACGAAAGGACATAAAAATTCATCGCGGATCGTAAATATTGCGCGATCAATTCTCACGTATGAAACGCGCCGCGTTGCGCCGAACGGGCGAGCGTATCCAACTACAGGCGGAAAGGAGGCGCGGACCCTCGTTTCCTCGCCGAGAAAGCCATTCCCGATCGTTAGCGGTTTCTTGGCTATGATATTAATTTAAATTATTCAACCGTTTATGCGCGCCGCCGTAATAAGCCTTACGATCGCGGAGTCGCCGGTAATGTCGACTCCGCACGCGTGCATGCAGCTAATTGTTCGCGATTTCTAAACAATTAGATTTGCCTTCGCAATGCGCGCGCTGTCCCGCACCGTCCTCGGTCGTACCAGCCTGCGAAAAACAGCCGGGACGGGCGTAATCGCATTTCATTAGTACAATGCGACGAGAATGTAATTTCGTTCAATGCCGGGCGTCCAAAGGCCGCTCTTACATACATTATTCGGTCTATATAGCGATAAGGTATTGGCATCTACGTTTCCTTTAACGAATGCCGCCAACAATGCGATCTGCGCAACGTAGTACACGTAACTCTATAACGTTATGATACCTGTATACATGGCGCCATTAAGATCTACAGTGGGTGTAGTAAGCCTTAAGACGTGAGAAATTGATCAATCGCAGGCGATTATTCTCCTCACTTTCGACTGTGATTGGTCAATTTCTTAAGTCTTGGTCCAAGTTCTAGCACCGTGGACGCAGGCCTCTACGGCTTAAGACTTACTACACCCACTGTGTACCCGGCTTAAGTCCCGGTCCACAATAGGTGATTTAGGCCCGGTTTCACCAAACGTCACTTAATGTCAATTGGCTGCAGAATAGAAGAGTTCCCTTAGAGTCCCTTAGAAATTATTTATTCTGCAGCCAATCGACACGCCTGAAAATTTGTCGTACGACAAATGTAATATTAGCCCAAGTTTCCTAAGAAACTGACCAATCACAGCCAAAAATGAGGAGAATACTCGACTGCGATTGGCCAATTTCTTCGGGCTTAGGACTATTGTTAAATCATCTATTGTATTATAGATTGAGACTTAATGCCTAGTTACCCAAAGTTGGACGCGTTCTGGAACGCAATTTAAATTTCTGTATTTTTGCAGTAAATCCAGTTTGGGAAATGGCTCAGCGACTTTTGGTACTGAGCTGTATCGACAAGTTGGTTATACGAAAAGTACAATTTTAATTGCGTTCGAAAACGCGTCCAGCTCTGGCTAGACATTGGGAGCTTTCCAGCAAGCGACACAAGTCGACACAAGTGTCGTTCTGTCTTTATTATTCATTGAATGCGAAGGAAGACAGAACGACATTTGTGTCGACTTGTGTCGCTTGCTGGAAAGCTCCCATTAATGACGCTGTGTGTACACGCACCGGCATAAATGCTGTCCCTATCCTTGTGAGGTGCACGCACACAACTAGAGTCCCTGTAGTTGTGTGCGTGCACCTAACAAGGATAGGGACAGCATTTATGCCGGTGCGTGTACATCAACGGTATTGAGTTTCTGTGGAAAATTTTCTGAAAGAGTGCAGCACATCGTAATCTCATTCAAACTTTTGCATTACGCACTATTTGAGGTCGATATTTCCCCGTTTGATGCACAATCCGGCGAAGATTGTTCACTGTTTCGCTGACACGCGCTAGTTTTCTTGATCTTAACTAGAGTCCGTAATGTCGTTCGCGATCTATCGCCAGGTCTGTTATCCGTCGACGATCGATGACGCTTATCCCGTCGGAAAGTCCGACGGAGACGCACTTCCGCGGCTATGCCTTTCGCAGCTTTCTCCGAATCGCTTGCCAGCTCAGTGGCTTATCGTGCCATCATAACGTGGCATATCGCTCCTCGTGTCGACCGATCGAGGGACAATTGCTACTTGCGAGGTAAAAGTTACTTTCCGAATTTATTCGTTTATCTTTGAATCGGGATACTTTTCCGATATTAATTCTGACTTTAACGAAATATGCTTTGCCCTCGCGACTGGATTCTGGGGGACGTTGGTCAAACTCACCTCGACTCCGACGCCGAGCTATGTCGCGATGTAATTATAACATTCGGCTGAAGTGCGTATCGCGACAATGAGGCCGGAACGTCGCGAAATATTCGCCGATCGCGTGCCATTTCGAGCCGCACGAACGGCGGATTAAATGTTCCGCGATGTTAACGTCAAATTTGCGTGAGCAACGTCAAGCCCGGGAGGACGACGTAAGATGGACAGGACGTCTCCAGGAAATACGCCGGAAGGGCAGCACGAACCGTCGTCGCCTTCCGGAGTTATAGTCGCGGGCCCCCTTCCCTCCTCCCCCTTTGCCCCTCGCCGAGGCTCGTCCTCGTGACATCGCGTCACAAATCGAAAATTACCGAGCACGCGAACTGCTGCTTTTTTCTGCCTTTACGAAGAGACGATCGGAGCAGTTTCAGTATATTCAAGATTCCCCTCGTTGAAAATATCATCGCTTTTTATCGTCGTCGAATAATGTTGCATGCGCATTGCGCGGTGCAGCAGCTACGTAGAATCGAAATCGACTTATTTTACTGTGACAAGCAGCAAGTAGATAAATATATAGATATGATTAATTGTGGAAACGGGGAAAGAATGAAGCGCTTGTTATTTTAATTCGCTTTTCACAAAGCTACAAGAATTTAGACTGTAGTTTCTGTATCTTTAAAAGGCCACGCTTGCGCACTTTACGCGCCGTGCCAGATGAAATATGTTCCCGAAGAAATATCACGTGGGCAATTATCTGTTATTTACGACTCGTTTTTAGTTGGTCGACGCGCATCCCTAATTAGGCAAATCAGAAACGGAGCGACTCGATGGGAATTAGTCATGATACCGATTTTCGTATACGTGCGCAGCCAGGGATATACGCGTGCGTAGGTGTGCCGCTTTGCACGACATCCTGCTTTTCCCAGTTATAATTTGCCTTATGCTTTAAACCTGGCGCTGTCACGCTCTGCCGGAGGTCGAGTGGTACTGCTAGCCGCCAAACTGTAAACTTAGCTCGTTGGAGAGCCGCATAAATTAGGTCCTCGAAAGGGAATAGAGAATTTTCTAGCGTCGCGGTTTAATCGATACCGCCGTTGCCGTCGACGCTCCGCCGGAGACTCGCTTCGACATTTACCTTGGCTCCCTTCGAAAAAATGCAATTAAACCGAGGACGTGAACGAAGTCGAATAAACTGCGGCGCGACAGTGGAATATTCTAAAGCCGCGACACACGATACTAGTTTTCCTGCTGGATTACTTACGAGAACCAATAAGAATGCCAAGTTTTAAGCCAACGGCACACGGTACTATTTTTCCTACTGGATTGCTTACGGGAGGCAATCAGAATGTAGAGCCTTAGATCAGGTGACTTAAAGCTAAACCCTGATTGGCTCTCGTAAGCGATCCAGTAGGAAAAATAGTATCGTGTGCCGTTGGCTTCAGGCTTGGGTAAAAGAGACAATTGCGTACACGTTTGAGCTTATTCTACAATGGACGCTAAGCCGCGACGCGAGAAATCGGCCAATGACAGTCGGTCATTCTTCTCATATTTGACTGTGATTGGT